TTCGGCGCGTTACAAAAAGAACGCGGGACGGCAATCTGTGCGACCTCTCTCCCTGTATTAGCCGAGGCCCGCGGGCGTGTTTGCCCAGCCACAAATATGGGTTCGGGCCTTTTTCGGAGAAATCGCGTAGCACGAGCCGCCGCTCGAGGGTGGGGGAGGGTTGAGGGTGTTCATCGCGAGATGAAATATTTATCGAGACGATCGAGCGGGTGCCTGCGACGTGGCGATTGATTCGCCTTCGGCCGCGATTAAACTTGCGGCCGCGACGACGCGGTCTCTCGTGTCTCTCTAATTAGTGGATATTGAGATATGCAGAGAGGGAGAGAGATAGTGAAGAAAGTGAAGAGGAGAGAGATAATGAGAGGTATAGACAGCATTTGATCAACGCGATCCCATCAGTAGTGCGAAGATTGAAGTCGCGCGACGCGAGAACGCGTTTGTCGCGAAGGAAAGGAGGCCGTCGATTTCAGCGATCGAATCTCGCGAGTCGTTGGCCCACGCAGGTGCCTAATTAAAAAGTAATCGACTTCTCCCTCTAACGGCAGCTTTTAGCTGGTCGAACGGCACGACGCCGCAACGACGCGTGACGTAATAGCAAATTATTCCACTTTATATTCGTTCGTTCGGCTGCGACTGGCGGGAAAAAGCCGCACGAGTGAATTTCGCGAGGTTAACGAGTAACGGTAATCGACCGATTTGAGCGCGCGGCCGAACTTTCACGGTTTTCCCAATTCTCACGATTACGTATGTTGTACGCTTCGCAGAGCTCGCTTCGGTGTGCGTGCGAGTCCGCTCGAACTTACCACACCGGAAGGATGTTACTTCCCGCGGGAGAGAAAGCCACCGAAAGGAGCGCACGAGTCGGTTTAAAAAATATCGGCGTCGACGCGCGAGTCCCGAGCTGAACAGAGACAGAGAGAAACTAAGTTCTCCTGACGAATGCCAGCCAGGCATTCGGGTATTTACTCGCGCGTCTCGGTGTACGACAGTTTTTCCTTCCACGTCGAGACGCAAAGCAGGATCTCGTCCCTCGGGACTCGACTCGTCGTTTCCTCTCCGCTCGAAATTTGGAAGAGGGTGGCGCGCGCGTTCAGCCTCGTCGAAACGAAACGCTCGGGAACGAGCGTTCACATTCCACGGTAAGGTTGCGATACACGCGCGATAGCGAAAAGATCGAGGAATGCTGAAAATCCGAGCGCACCTGACGCCGAGGTAAAAGAGACGTCACGAGGAAACGAACGCGCGACCAGTTTCGCCGCCGGGATGAGCCTATCGGCGCTCTTCAATTAAGGGAAAGATAATTATACTGGCATGTTGCAAAATATTCGGAGCAGTGTAATAAATTGCCCGATGAAATTTCAAAGGTATCGCGCTCTCTCGCGAAGCGGAGAGTGAGAGAGCTTCGGTTCTGGGACCATATATTCTGATCTGTCTCTCCCCTTCGTTCTTCGCATCTCTATCCAGCTACATTGTTGCCCTGAGCCGCATATTATCGCGGACGAGATACCGCCATTATTCGAATGAGAAAGAAAGCGCGCTCACATAAATCGCCTTCGATCCGCAGAGGACTAATTTAATCGCGGGGAGATTTACCGACGCGCCGCTCGGCGCGTGTTTACTTTAGCGGCGCTTTATTTCGCCGCGATTATATTGATTTACGAGGGGTGCGGAGAAAAAGAGCAGCGGATCTCCTGCGCACACCTCGTCTATTACGAGTCGTGAGACTCCGGCCGGGGTTAATTAATATCGACAAGCGCGGATCCGAAAACGCTAATATTCGCCGCTTTAAGTCGCCGGCGCGGCGCGGCGCGGCGCGGCGCGGCAGCGGACTCGGCCGAGAGAGGCTCGCTTCGATTAATCGCTAATTGCGACGATCATCTCTCCGCGAAAACAAGCCACGGCGGGCCAGCTCTGACGTGGGGCCAGCTACGGCTTAATAACAGGAACCGAGCGGAGGAATTTCAGACGGTGGCCGAGCGTGGTTATTAAGTATCGAAAGGTTATCCGATCGACCCCCCCGATACACACGGCGGCTGACTCGGATTCAACAACATTCTTATCCATCGATCAAAGCCCGCGCCGGGGCGCGGGACCCCGCGCGGCCATAAATCGCCGCCCGAGATTTTCTACCGGGCCCCGGCGTAAGAAAGCGGGAATATCGAGAAAACGCGCTCGATCTCGATCTCCCGAGCTTAATAAATCGCGACGCGAGTTCGCGCATCCGAGCGCTCTCGTCGACGCTTGCGAGTCAAATCGCGAGAGTCGGTGCGTATCTCGCGGAGAGATCGCGCGACGCTTATCTCGGCGATGCGATATATTCCGCGAGCGGCCCGAATGTAATCGAAAAGAACGCAATTAGGAAAGAAGAACTCTCGCGAGCTGGCGAGGCACGGCCGGGGCTTAAAAACACATCAGTGATCCCCTTGTATTTTTCGTTTCCGGCGCAGAGAAAGAGAGAGAGAGAGAGAGAGAGGGAGAGAGATATGGACGAGTTTGGGATAACGAACATACGGGGAGTACACAAGACCGCTGCTATAAATTGAATCACGACCGAAAGAAATGAGCATCCGCCCCCGTCATGATTTGTTCGGAAGCAATAGCTCGCGAGCTCACGTCGCAATCAGCGTCTGTTTGTTCCAGCGAGAACAACGCAAAGTCATATCCGGTGGACGCACGCTCGACCGGCGCTTATCAAAGAAATCCTTCCCCGAGGACGATAATAAGACTCTTAAATATGATCTCGTATTTGAGAAACATCTCGCCGCCACGTTCGGCAAACTCAAAAGTCTCATAAATATAATGAACTCGTCCATTTTTTCCACCCATCAGAGAACAATCTATCGATATGTTAATTACACGCCCGCGCTCGCTATTTTAATTTAAAGCGGAGCGTCTCTCTATCCTCCTCTCTCTCTTTCTCTCTCTCTCTCTCTCTCTTCCTTCGCGCCACGGCTAGCCGCGTATAATCGATTGTAGCGCGCCACTAATTTGTAAGAGAGCTGGTATAAATCGCGGCTGCAGCTAAACGGAATACGAGCGACGTCAGCAGCGTCCGCGAGCGAGAGGAAAAGGAGGACGAGGGGGGGGGGGGGAGAGAGTAAGGGGACGTCGGAAACGACGTAGGAAAAAGAGTCGCGGTAACGAGTGTCGGTCGCGAACGGAAAATAAGGCACGCTCTCTTCTCCCTCGAGGAGGAGAGGAGGAAACAGAGAGAAAGAGAGTTCGACACGTCGGATTATTGGGTCGAGAGAATCCACGAGAGCGGCTGGGTCGTTAAAACTGCAAGCTCGATCCCACCCTTGGCCGTCCACGCCGTCTGCCTGTCCCTCCCTCGCCTCTCCCTTTCTCACTATCTGTCTCTTCTTCATCCCCCGCGCTTTCAATTATTCCGTTATGTTTCCGAGACGTCGCGAGGAAGACCGCGCTCGCCCGGCAGCGTGCTCGAGTAGACGAAGTTACGGCACGATTTTTCTTGCCGGCGCACTCGGTCGAGCTCCTCGAGAACTCGATGGGCGAGCGAGCGAGCGAGCGAGCGAGCGATGCGCACCGATGAGAACGACGTCACCGGGACGGAGATATCCTTCTCTCTCGGCTGGGCTCGGACTTTAATCGAGCCCTAAATCGGATTTAGCGCGCAAGCGTTTAACCCTCGAACGCGAGCCACCGTCGAATTTCTCCTCCTGTCCGACGAGACTTCCCGACGGGTTCGCGGAGTTCCTTCGCTCGCGGGCAACGAGTGCGACGAGTGCGGCGAGTCCAAGGACGAAAGTCGAAACTTTGCAGGAACGACGACGAATATGGTTATTTTTCGCTTTCTCTCTCTCTCTCTCTCTCTCACGATCGAAAGCGTTGACTTAATTGACGAGCTTTATGAAACGATATTCGATTGCGAAGACAGATTGAAAATAAATTCGAAGCACCGCGTTTTCCAAAGCATCACCGAATCCCGCCTCTCGTCTCGTCGTCGCAGTCGTTGGCAACGCGACGGCAATGCGTCGTTGGGAATCGACAATGGGAACGGGAGAGAGGAGAAGTCGAGGACCGTCGATATCGTCCGATAACGAAGACGACCCCCTCGAGGCGTCTCCCACGGGCCGGATGAATAAACTCGGGACTAATTACCGCGATAAGTGCGGGAGGAGCCCGGCACGCTTCGTTGTTCCGCGAAGGAACGAGTCTCCGCGATATTAACGAGTGGCGGGTGGCGGCCGCTCGTTCGAGCTTTCAATCGCGCGGAATGCCTTGAAATATTTGCGCGCGCGGTTCGCCGGCGAGAGATGTAATATGGACGCGCGCGAGAGCGCGTCGGCTGGGCGGGACGCGACGTTTATTACCTCGCAGCAATGCGTAATTAAAGTAGAATAGATGGCATTTGAGGCATTCCCCGGCCGGCGGGATGAATTGCCGCCCTCCCGACGAAGGAGCGTCGTGATTTAGTCGCGCAGTCAACGCTTATTAATCTATTCGCGCGAACGTGTGTTTAGTCGCGCATGGCTGTAATAGCCGGCGTTCCTGCGAGTGGTCATTAATACCTGCATAAGTAAACTCGCCTGTGAGCGCACGTGCACGCACGTAAAAATCAGCCCCTCGCATTTGCATCGCGCGGGACCAGGAGGTGAGCGCGATCGCGATCGGTCGCCTCGATAGAGAGAAGGAAAGAGAGAGAGAGAGAGAGAGAGAGCTCGAAATCTCTCGCGTGTTCTTCGCTAGTCTAAAAGTCTCTCTCTCTCTCTCTCTCTCTGGGGGGAAACAAAATTTCCGCACGAATTTTCGCACGCGACTATCCACCCTTGTATTCCTGACCCTCTCGATATATCACATTGACCGGCTGATCGCTCGAACGCGAGAAGCGGGAGGGAAATCGCGCGCACGCGCGCGCACACAAGGCGAGGCGAGGGTGAGAAAAGAGGCGCCGGGGAAATGAAGAGGGGCCAGCGGTCGTAAAGTAACGCGCCTCGTGTTGTACGCGCTGACTGAAATTGCCGCGTTGCCTGTTCCAGTGTGCAACTGCAACCTCCACGCGAGAAAGTGCAGATTCAACATGGAGCTGTACAAGCTGTCGGGCCGTGTCAGCGGAGGTGTTTGTCTGCAGTGCCGACACTCTACGGCGGGGAGGCACTGTCATTACTGCAAAGAAGGTTACTACAGAGACCCGGCGAGACCGATCACGCATCGCAAGGCCTGCAAACGTAAGTGTACCGCCGCGCCGCCATGTGGCCGTGCGCGCGGCGGCAATTACATGTAAATCTACACAGGAGAGGAACGAGCGAGCGAATGCACGGCGAGTAATTACGCGCGTCGAGTAACCCCTCTCGCGATTACTCGCGCGCCTCGTATTCTCGTGGTCGCGGCACGCTTAATTACGGAAGTGCCGTCGAACACCACCACCGTCGCGCCGGCCCCTTTGTGCCCTGGCTCGCTCCCACCGTGCCCGGTCGGACCTGGTCGACGCGCGAATTAGAAGGCGACGCTGACATACCGTGGGATTCCCAATTCTTCGCGTGGCGCGTTTACTCGACAAAGCGCGACTAATAACGCCGGACGCTCGCCGGGCTAATTAGCGCGGCTCGCTCGTATCCTCGCGTCGCCGAGACCAGCGTGATTCCGCGAGAGGCCCGTCCCTTTGCCGTCATTTCGTCGCGCGCGGAATCGCGCGACGACGACGACGACGCGTATATAAATGGCAACATTCGGAACAGCCGTTTGATAAGGCGTACTTTATATTGGACGATAACGAGGTGCGAAAACGGTAGGAAAAGATCGTCTCGAACGCTCGGAATCGCTTCAAGGATTTCCGACCATCCGACCGCTGCTGCTGTCGCTGACAAGCGAGGCTAATCGCGCGGAGGGACCGCAGGCCGAGGGCGAAGGAAAAGCGGGAAAGGACTCCTCTCGATCGGGTCAAGCGCCTCTCAGCAGCCGAGCGCGACGCTCGGCTCTATCGTACAGAGGCCCATTACCATTCGTCTCAGTCTGTGGCCATGGCGCTCTTACAAAGTGGTTACCAGCTGAGCAACCCCCTAATCTCGGCGCATTCAATTTATGTACGTTTGTCTAGGCCCACGGACCGCCGCGGGGATAACGATCTCTCCCGGTGTGAGAAAGCGCGCATGCCGTTACATTCACGACGCATCGGCCGCGGCAACGTCCGCGACGCGTCGCATCGCGCGCCAACGCGGCAACGACGAGGCAGCGTGCCACGGTGCCACGGACCACGCGCGCGATCCCTTGTGCTCTCCGGACGCTGATAAATCGAGACGGGCGCGCGGCCCGAAAGCGCCGCGAACGAAAGCGAAGCTGCGCTTTGGCGAGAGAAAGAGAGACCTGCGTGATGAACTCGGCAGCTCGCGGCGAATTACTCTGCCTTGGCACTTGGCACTCGTGTTCAGTAAAAATATCGTCCCTTTAGCCCAGCGTCAGAGATCCAGCGCGAGAGATCGACGCACCGAGTCCTTGTATCTTCGTCAAATCGCGCCGGTCTCTGCGCGGAGCCTCCGCGACCTTGGCGGATGACATCCTGCGGCCGCCTCAGGCTGCGCGGTTTCGGGAGGTTTGACCAAAGAGTAAGGAGAATTTTGAAATTGCGCGCGCTGTGTCCCGTCTATTCGGTTGATTCTTTTTTTGTGTGTTGGTAGCACCAACTGCCAGTGTGACGTACGTGTGAATTTTCAGGCAGCTGCGACGCTTAGTTTGTGTTTGGCGAGCGCGAATGAGCGAGACGTGTACTTCAGCGTGTCTGGCGATTTTTTGTGTGGCGAAATCAGCCAGCGGATCGGAGTGCCGATTCAACAGTTCTTGGCGAAATGTAACACCGTGATTGCGATGCCACCTTATTCTCCAGACATGACCCCCTGTGACTCTTTCCTATTTCCAAACTCAGAAGCACGCTCAGAGGACAACGTTCTTCAACAACAGATGAGATGAAGCTGCGAAATCGCAGATCCAGCTCGAGACGATACCTAAAGAGGCGGCGTTCCACCATCCAGTTTCTCATGCTGGAACCTACGTTGGCATAAGCGTATAATATCACAGGGGGACCAATCTGTGAAGGACACGGGGATAGACTGAAGATTAAATAAATAAATCGTGGGATAAATTGAAGATTAAATAAATACTTTCCGAGAAAATTAAAAAATTCTCGTTACTTTTTGATCAGGCCTCGTAATGTATACTCGACACACACTACGTTAACGAGGAAACTCGTTCTTCGAAATCTTCCTTTGGAAAGCCGGTAACCATGTCGATAAGCTGGCGAAGAGATCTCGAAGACGCAATTTCTCGCTATGTTCTTCTTTGATTTTTCTCTCTTGCCGGGTGCCCCCCTCGTTTATCTCTCGTTGAGATATCCCTCTTGCGTAACGCCCGCAGGAGGCCGAGCTGCGGACGATGCAGAGCCGCTGCCGCGGCGCGCTTCTTTACGACCGCGGGAATTTTCGCGGGACTCTGTCGTTAGGTTGTCTCGGTGGACGAGTCTCTTTCGCGCGATTAACTATGTGTGTCACTGGGCGTATCCTCTCGAGTGCGGCCGGGCTACTACTTGTCGCGTCGCGTCGAGTCGAGTCGCGACGTTAATTAACTCCTCTCGCGGCCTGGCGCGTTTTTAACGGCGACCGGGGCGTTTACGCGCCTTTACGCGTCGCGCCGCGCCGCGCCGCGCCGCGGCAGCGAGAAGCAGCGCGTAAAAAGAAGAAATATGCGCGCGAACGCGCGCTAAAAATTCTACTTGAGTGGCGCGTAATTCGGCTCGTCGGCGCCGTAAAGTGTTCTCTGCAACACCTGCGGCGAATTTTCTCCCTTTCAAGATCGCGCACCGATAGAGTCGCGTCATCGCCTCCGCTCACCGGCTCTGAAGTGCGCTCGCATCGCATCCGCAAAAGGCGCATCCGAGTCGTCGCGATGTGGAATTCATGGAGAAGTGACTACGCACCGTCGGACTTGGCAAGTTCCGGGTCAGTCGATCGGCTTTACACGGCGTATATTGTGCTTTTTTACTTCCCGAAGCGAAGAGAGTTCAATTGAAAATCGAAACCGCGCATCCGCTCGGTGGTTCTTAATAATATATCTTTTTTGCTACCCAAGTGAGAAAAATATTTTTCAAAGCAAGAAGATGTACATTTTCCTAAAAGCTCGTAGCCTCTCAGGAAGGAAATTAATTCTATTTAAATAAAAAAGTTTAGCTTTAAGTACGTTGCTTCAGTAGCAGTATGCTTCGAATGAATATTCTAGAATACTTTTTAGAAATAAGTTCTTCCTCCCAGTGCATCCAATCGATATAATTTCTCGAACTTTGACACGATCTAAATTATCGTCGCGTGTCTCATCATATCTTACAATACAAAATTATCGCGCATACGTCGCGTATCCTGAGGATAAGCATTTCACAAACTCCTTTCTGAAAGCACTCTGTGAAGTGGCTCGTGGAGTGGTTTCTCTGCAGAGTGGTTTCGGAAAAGTGTTTGTGAAACGCTTGTATATGTCGCGTCTCAGTGTATCTCGTAAGGGTGCGCGATGACGGATCGAGGTTGAAAATGTTCGAGTGTTAAAAGCGAGCCAAGGGTTAGGAATCTGGGGTCACAGGACGGCGATACGAGCGAGCGCCGTTTGCTCTCGCGCTCGCCGATGTGTCTCCGGCGCGCATATAAAGCAACGAACGCCGTCTCGGTCGTGGCGAGGGTCTGCGCGTGCTCTCGTCGGTGAGATAACGAACAGTCTGTATTCTCGTTAGCAGCCGTGTGGCAGCCGTTAAGATAACAACGAGACACGACGCGCGCTTACCGCGAGAGGCGACACTCGCCGCGGAAAGAAGGAGATTTAAACTCGTCTTAGAACGGCATAACTTTCATAAATTAGTCCCCGGGACGAGGCTGGGTGAGGCGAGCAGGGAAGGAAAGCAGAGGGACACTGCCGGTGTTATAGATCGAGCGGCCGGGTATAATTCCGTTTTGATATGTAATTTAAGTTTGAGCTTCAACTCGAAACTTGCGAACTCGAACCCCTCTCTCTCTCTCTCTCTCTCTCTCTCTCTCTCTCTCTCTCTCTCTCTCTCTCTCTCTCTCTCTCTCTCTCTGTCCCTCCTTTTCTGCTCGTAAGGATGATAAATTTCGGAATTAATCGACTGATAGAACGGCTCGGCTTTCATCGCGGAGAATACAATACGCGGAGACACATCGGTAAACGTATGATGGAAATGAAGGAAACTCCACTTTCGCGACAAAGTTTATCACGTTCTCTATAAAAAGGCCGCGCGAATTAGAATTTTATGAAATTCTTTGGAGAACTCACAAATCTGGATGTTTCCAAGGAAGCGAATCAACGTTCAGATATTTATAATGAAAAAGAAAGAATTTTATATCGACTAGAATTTCCCCGTAAAATGAGAAAGCACAATCGTTCCGATTGAGATTCGCAAATCGCACATAGTTCCATCCGCGAATAGGTATTATTCGTGTGAGACATGAGAAACGATATTCATCTGGCAACTCGCTGAAAGCACCAGTCGAAAAAACAAGTTTTCGACGACGACGACGACGACGGCGTCGGGATGACTCTGCTCATTTCCTAAGATATTATATTCGCGCTGCTTTCTCGAGCGTCACGTCGCGTCGCGTCGCGTCGCCTCGCCTCGCCTCGTCTCGCGCTTCTCTGTCATTATAAGGCCGAACACGCGGAAAATGCAGATTTCCGCGATTTCCCGTCCCCGCGCGCGGGGTCTCGCAACGCGCGCCGCTGCGACGAACACGCGCGCGCTCCCTGACTCCCGCAGCGGCGGCAGTAACATTTCCACGGTTAGTGAACTCCGAATTGGTCGTAGCGAACGTCCGACCGACCGACGCAGACCGACCGTCCGTCCACCCTTCTCATCCCCAGCTCGGTCCCGGCGAACCCCCCCAATCTCGTGCTCGGCATTTCCGCCGGAAAATACGGCCCCGTGTCGACTGCGACGTAACGTCAGGTCGGGACGGCCGCGCGGCTCGTTTCGAGATTTCCACAGTGACGAATGAGAGTCCCTCCGACCCTCTCCTGTAACCACCCTTTCCGCTTTCCCACCCTCTTTTCCCCTCGGAGCTCCACGCGTATCTCGTTTTCACTCCTTCCCCGCCTTATCCGTCCGCTCGCTACGAGTAGCGATGTCTATTCTACCTCGAACCCCCTCCTGCCCCCTGCCCCCTGCCCCCTGCCCCCTGCCTCC